CCTGGAAATGCACCACTAGCCGAGGAATGCGCAATCTGAAAAGTTTGGCGGTTTGCCCGTTACAGTTACCATAATAAGCTTAATTTTCAAAGCTGTCGAAGCGAACATTTTCGCTGATAAGAAACGAAGCAAAAGGAAACAAAAACAAACAGCCAAACGAGTAGTGTTTGAAATGTACTAGCTTTGTGTATATACTTTAACGTGCTGCTCACGTATTCTACAGAACATGCGAGTTCTTCGAGCAAGCAATTTCTTTTCGCGCTGCGTTTGAGCTAATATATTTCCTTTATATATATGCGGTAACGTTTGTCCGTGTCTCTCTCTATCGCAATTGTTATCTCTTTCCGGCGAAGAGTCTAGGACGCGGTATTTCTTTAAGCTTATACTTAAACATGCATGCACCCACTGTAATTACAGCTCCGACTAGAAGAACGTGAATGGATGTACACGAGCAATTTAGGTTGTAAGCGTACCGTCGACGTACGGGGAATAGCATTCGACTTCAGTCAATAGCTACGTGACTCGAATAAAATGAGAATAGAGCTTAAGGCCTTCCACTATTCACACAGTGCTTCCAGCCATTCCTGTGGCTCGTAAAGCGGGCGGGCGCTAGAGAAGTGAGAGAGCTCGTCATGTTTGTAGGCTAACCCCGTAACGAAAGTGAGTGTTTCTCTGGAGCGTCGTAAAAAAAAATATGTTCCTAGCGGTATACGGTTTTCACCAGTATATATACTCGTGCGGGCTGTGAATGCTGCAACCGGGCATGCGTGCGCGTGTGCTCCTGCCTCCTCAAAAAGCGCAAGCAGCTCCGCTTAACAATCGCAGTATTTTTTTTTGTTGTTGTTGTTGGCTTGCTGTTCACGGTATCACGTTCACTAAACTCAGAAGTGGGCGGGTCGCGCCAAGCTCAACGCGATGACAAGTCGCCCGGAAGACCGTCCGAGGGCGGGCAGCACCGAAAAACAAAAATAAGAATGCACGTTTCGCGTGGTCCTCGGCAATAAATGGCCGCTGTGAAAATGTGGAGCGCGCATTGTTATCATCTAAGCGCAACGAGCGTACAGTGCGACGTGCTCGAGATGCCGCCAGGAAGTCGTTGGACGGCGTGCTTACGCGAATGAATCAGCCGAAGTGTCACCTGTAAATATGTGCTTCGTTAGTTCTCCCAACCGCTCGAGGGTTTGTCTATCCGTTCCGCCGTTGACCACCGTCGAGCGGCTCTGGGCGTGGTAACGAAAAGGACAAGCTTTGCAACGGTTGCAGCTCAGCCATCGACTCTGCACCAATTCTCGCTTCATAATCTCACGTAGCGAGGGAGCCATGCGACAAACTTTTGACGCCCCCCCCCCCCCCCCCCCCCCCCGAATCGGAACATTGCCCACACCTACGCGTAGTGCTACAAGCAGTTCGTATTTTGTTTTTCTCGTTCTTTCTCTTTCCCTTCGCATGCAGTGCCGTGAGAGAAATGCACTCCCCATCAGTCACCTCGTTCCCACGCGACAAGTGATGCCGGCGTGGTTTGCAGCTTCCACGGCTTCCTCGCTTCGAGGCATCGTCGATTCTCGGCTCTCCATTGTGTACAAGCCGAGGAACTAGAAAGGAGGTCTATGGAAGTGGAATAAAGGTATAAACACAGACAAATGATATAAAAGCAGGTTATCAGGCCTCAATGAAAGACTGCATGAATGAGCGAGGAATGGATGATCCACCCTAGCGAGTATACACTATTCTTGGCAAAATAATGTAACTGATTTCGTGTTGAAACCAGTTCGTTAAAAAAGAAAAATATTTTCTCATTGTGACACTTTTGCAGGCGGGTTCTTTAAAATTTTTTGGTCGTAAGTCTACCTGGTCAAAATTAAAGCATAACCACTTATTACCGAGTAAATCTTTGGTCTCATACTACGTAATATAAAATGATACTGCTAAATATAATGCAAAATGTGAAATGACGAGCTTCCACAAGCCACCGAAGAGGATGTGGTGTTGTTTTCTTCTAATCCTATTTTGCTAGGAAGGAAGTGCAATGTAGGACATGCCTTTTACCACGTTGGCACGTGCGCGTAAAGTGCTCCTGAACGTTTTAGCAAATGTCATACCAGGACGACAAACTGCTCATAACGATAAAATAAAACAGCATCAATTACGACGTCCTGCCTTTATCTTTAAAACGGCTATGCGTTTTCTCAAACTCTCTGCCTTTCACTTCATAACATGTCTCTCTGTTAAACGCAACTATATCCCTGGTGAGAACAAGTCTCTTTTTTGTTTTTGTTTTTTGAGTTTGGAATGTATAGGGAACCCATGTCACCATATATGCAGAATTAATACGACTCTACTTTAATAACTGCTACCAGTAACGATCCTGAGAATATGGAACTTTGTCCTATCCTTGCATACAGGTAAATTCTAAAGCATATCATTTCTGACATCGAAGAATGAAACGTTTATTTTGTGCAGACTAGTAGGCTCTCCTCAATAATTGTAAGTTCAGCTTACTAAACGTAAAATTAACCTGCTGCAATGATGCTCGAACTGTGTGCGCATGAGTAATGGCCAGCTATAGCTGCAAATTATGGCATTCTTGGTTTAGCTCATAGTTAAAACAAACAATCTAACTGTAAGGCCACGTGGTTGCGTTACATCGGTATAGCTAATGCAACGCAAGCGTGAGTCTGTAGTTCTACTCATTAAACAAGTGATGCTGCGCGCGCAATAGATCATGTGTCGATAAATAATTTTCGGTGGACTTATGGGGTATGGTAGGGTAAATGTTGTATGTCAGTTTCAACATAAAATGCTAGAAACGGCTGAAAGTTATATTGTAAAACTTTACGTGCGCACAAAAGATACCACCGGGTAACAAGTGATACTTTTTTTTTTATCCCTAGGTAGCCCATCCTTACAATGGCCAACTCTGAAATTTTCAAGTGGGTTCCCTCATTCAATGTTCTTTTTCTCTGCAACCACCAAAACGAATGCAATGATATTCAGCCATGTTATTGTAGTGATTCGTAAGTTACATCTGAACGAAAAAATATATTACATTGTTTATGATGATTTTGCAGAAAAACATAAAATTACTTCATGCACAAAGCCACAGAGGTTGCGTATTGTTGTGTAACTTCTTTCAGCTTCAATTTTTATGAAATCATCAATATTTTAGTTCAGATTCTTTCCAACTTGTTGCAGATCACACATACAAAGTGTCATTGAAATCGATTGAATACTTATGAGAAATGGTACATTGAAGATGTAAAGTTCATAAAAAAACGCAATTTGAGATAAATGAAGTTTTACGTGCGCATAGTGCTTACGCCACAGGGTGTAGCGATCAAGCTATGCCTTGACCCAGCGGGTCATTCGCCACGCCGGATTAGGGCCAAAACGACAGTCTCGCCACGGCTGGACGGAGGAAGCAACAGAGGCCGAGACGGCGCCCACTGATTGACAGCGGCGCCAACTGGGTGGAATGTCGCCAAAGAGGGTTTTGGAGCCGCCGCTCTATCTCCCGCCTGGGCCAGCCACGCATCGTTAGCGCGTTAACCGGCAGACGACGACGGCGCTGGTCAAAGGGCTCTCCCCAGAGAATTCCACGAACCTGGCACCTCTCAAAAGGCCGCGCTAAGATCTCCTCGTGGGAACGCAGCCCGCGGCCGGCATCAAAGGGGTCGAGGCGCCCGTGCGTCTTCCGCTCTCCCCCTCCCTGTTCTACGGCAGCGCTGCGACTAGTGGCAAGAGTGTGTGTGTATGTGCAAGCCTGTGTTGTGCCTCTATGAACAGACATGATGGGCGGTACTTCATTGAGAGGAACTGCCACATCACCATTGGTCCGCATTGTTTTATATAGTGATCCCCAACCTAGGGACCTAGGGAACGGGGGTCAACAAAAAGGGCGTGGAGTGCCTCGCCCAACGTTCTTCTCTTCTCTTCTGTCATCTCGACAACTCACTGTAAAGATGTAAATAAATCCGTTAAGTTTGCTCAAAGCTCTCCCCTGGTCCCTCCCGTCGACGGAGCGACGGCGATCGGCCCCGCTACCCGCAGACTGCGGTCGCCGCGACGCGCAACAACTGGTGGCAGCGGTGGGATGCCATCAGCGACTTCTTTCCTTCCTATCCTTAACAAGGGCACGCGGTGCACATCGGCGCGGCATTTAAACCGAATGGAGTGGCCGCTCGACGTCAGACTTCCACAGGTTTGGTCCTTAAAGTGCAGTGGATTGTTTCGTGTGAAAATTGCAAATTCAATTTTTGGATTCAATATGAAAACATCTTATATTGGTATATTTATTACGTTGGATCGTGCTAAACATGCCAACATAAAGTGTCACTCAAGCTTTACATCACGAGAAATGTAACCACCAGTATTTTTTTTCGGCAGTTGAATTTATTGTAAAATGGGTAAGGAAGAGGAAAACAGAAGGAAAGACAGGAAGGTTAACCAAACGCGCGTCCAGTTTGCTATCCTACAATGGGGGAAGGGGTAATGAGTGATTAAAATACAGGGAGATAGAAAGAAGAGAGCATACAAAAAACACTGCTGCGTTCTGTGGTAGTGAACCCAGGATGTCGGCCACATCATGTTGCACTGTAGATAGTTGAGTAATAGTGCTTACGGAAGACTTGCAAGTACTAGAGACAGACTATCGAGCACTTGTTGCACGGGCTTACGGTATGGTGAGTTGGCCTTGCCGACGAACATGCGAGGTGCATCTAGGAGGGACCGAAGAACTAAGAAGACTGTTCTGTCTTCAGACAACTGGACAGTCGCTTATTCAGTGTTCACTGTTACGAAGGTGCCGTGTGACTCAGCACGTCGCTGCGACTTCCGCAACGAAGGTCAAGCTGCGTCACATGTGTCCACGTCTCTCTTGGTTTCGTCGTTTACGCCGGCTGTCACCCATCCATGGGACTGTGGCTTCAGAAATGTAGGCCAATTAGAATCCGCACCAACCGTGAAGGGTCCGCTTGACGATGAAGTCAGTAAAGCCCGGCATTCGAGGGTTATGTCCACAATGTGTCAGTAGCCTTATTACGAGTCGGTATGATATTATAATGACGTATTTATTAAAATATGATATCCAGACTGGTGTTAAAAAACATTTTATTTACTTTGCACAACTGCACGCGCATGACGTGATAAAAATAGAAACTAGGACCCAGTATTAGCGCAGTCAAACTGATCGCATGCTAGGATTGCATTCATTGGAAACTTATCACAAGCATCGCTTCGATTTCTTCGGCAGCCTATCGCAACACATTAACTCTGCTAGGCATCCAGCTTGTTCTATGCTGACTTCACACATGCATACGTATGTTTGTATACACTGCCGATGAAATCGATGAAATTGTCATAGCAATTCTTACAATCTGAAAGCTGCTTGTTCTCGTTAGAAATAGCGTTCACAGACACTTGAGTCACATGTACACTTCGGAATCCCTGATGCGGTTTTTAGTCAAGTGCTCAGTGAGTCGGTGTTCTCCGCAGAGGTCATCACAGTTCGGGGCTTCACCACGAGCCATCGTATCCCCCGTAGCCGCTGTGGTATCCGAAGCCGTGGTAGCCGAAATAATGGTGATGGTCCGTATGCAGATGGTGAACGCTGCGTGTTTCAACAATGTTTCACGATGACGTCATATGAACTTAACTTACAAAAGGGCATGACATTCACACCTGTCAAATGCTTTCACATAGATTGAGGAACACATTTCAATAGCCTTGTGCTTACTTGTTTGCTCGCATTTTTTGAAAATTGAAAACTTCCGCCAGAGGGGAATGGGTAACACGAGTTCTGGGAATAGTATCACAGTGCGTGCTGGCGGGAACAGACATCCTCCACTGAAGTTAATGTAATCTGATGACGTATAACTCGAACAAGTAAGGAAGCATGGATATACCACACTTACCACGCCCAGAAAGATTCCGTCAATGCAAAGTTTAAACACACGGAGTCGTTAAAGACTCGCCGCCGTGGTCAAATGGTTATAGTGTTCGACTGCTCACCCGAAGGTCGCGCCATTGAATCCCAGTCGTCGCAGCCATATTTTCAATAGACGCCAAAATGCTTGAAAGCGGTTTTCCTAAATTCGAGCCTTGCACGTTAAAGAACTCCAGGTGGTCGAAACAACCGTAGCCCTCCATTACGGCGTCCCTCACAATAATATCATGGCTTTGGGACGTTAACCCCCAACAATTATTAGTCATCAAAGCAACATTAGTGATAAATTTGTTTATTTATACACGCTGCCTATCATCGTCAGTGTATTAGCATACACCACCTTTGTTACAATACAAAAGAAAATACCACTAGATGTGTTAATAATAATAATAATAATAATAATAATAATAATAATAATAATAATAATAATAATAATAATAATAATAATAATAATAATAATAATAATATTACAATGGCGTTATTATGCTTAATTGAATTCTACCTGTGCAAAGAGAGCAAACAATGAATTATTGATCTCCCGACTAAGGTATTTCCTTCTTATAAAAAGAAAGAAAATAAAAGAAATCAGGGCAGTTCGACAAGCCGCAGCGTCACCATCGGCTTCGTCGACAAAAATGTTGGCGTCAAGACTATGCTTTTAATAAACAAAAATGCGCTAAATAATCAAAGAAAACATAAACAGAAACATTTTTTCGTGATGAAGATTTGTGTACTCAACAAAATAAATGTGAAGCATGATCCCACTTTTGCTGGTGAATTAAGTAGCACATCCAAAAATGCTATCAGGATTGCTGCCGTAGAAAGATATGTAAAGCAAAAAAGAGGCTACTTACGAAGCGTGAAGAGTATTTGAAGCAGTGGTATTAGTATCCTATGAAACACAAGTACATGTTAACAAGAGAGGGGAAAAAAGTAAAACAGAAAACTTAGAAACATATAGTACTTTTAAAAGGTAATGTCGTGTGTACTTTTCTGAAACATACAAGAATTTTTTTTTTGAAAGGCGGGGGGAGGGTAGGACGTTGAGGAGTCCGACATTGTGTGGTAAATATTATTACGTGAGGTATTTCAAGTGCAAGCTTTTTGATGATATAATTTGTCCCTATAGTCTGTCTGGCATATAATAGTATGAGCTTGTGATGTATATCTAAAAAAGTAAGCAGGTGTAATCTGCCTAGGTCTAGAACTGCCAAGTTTGGTAATACTATATCTTCTCTCCTGTGTGAGCCACTTGAGCACCTGCCACGCCACCCACCTAAATGACCTTTTCTTAATCAAATAGAACATTCTCTTTAAGTAAAGATTTAAGCTTTGGAACCGGGGCAAGTTTGAACAAGTAGAATTACCCATCAATTTCCGCAGCATGTTCGTGGTTTTCCCCAGAAGAAAGCGGCTCAGTATCCTAAGCTCTCACTTCTATCTAGATGATGGGTTCCTAAAACAGTGAGCAAACGAATACGAAACTCCGAGACAAAATTCAGAGAAGTAATGTGTAGCCATATGTCCTACGGTGAAAATATTCAACACATGGTCTCGTTCGACGACAATAAGATGAATGCTGAAACCTAGGAATGTTCATTGAAGCCCATAAAAGCCATATTCATATATATAGTGTATGAAAGAGGTGCCCGTGGCTAAAAATATCGGATTTCCTTGTCCAATCAATTGAGCAAAAATTTAATAGAGATAGGAAAAGGAAGGCTGCAGGTTAACTAGTCTTCCTTGGCGCATAAAAAGGCTTGTTGATGTGCAAATAAACTCAGTTGTAAGTCAGCGCTCATCTGTGTTCGGTGTATCTCCTTTCTCTTCGTCAATTTTGCAAGCCTATCCGAGGAGGTTAACCAGTTATTAGTATCCGGTTTGCTACCCACCATTAGGGTGGGAAAATACGGGCAAGAAAGAGAGTGTATGAAAAAAGAAAAAAGAAGAAAAAGCTCATACACACAGGATAAAAAAGTAGCAAGGGTGTTGTGTTTAGAGTAGTTAAGAGACACCGGTCGACTGCAAGAAGCGCAGAAAAGAATGCACGCAAGCCTTCTGGTCTTTCCATTGTAAAATGTTCCTGTTCGCTAAAACTGGGCCGCGGAGCGGGTACGCAGTATGCCTGATGCTGGACCAAAACAACGCTAAGTATCTGAGTGAGTTGTACACGCAATCACTTTGTTAAGAGCTTGTGATCACATTTTGAATTTAGATGAAACTCCACACTCTTAGGTTAGTATGTTTCGGGTCATCCTTGTAAAGAACATTGACCAGCCTTTACACATTGTACTCTATTTGCAAATGAGTTCTGTGGAAGCCCGCTGGCAATTGCTAGATTCCTGGTTAGCTCAATTGGCAGAGTGACCGCCCCGGATAGGTGTTGGTCCCGGGTTCGAACACCGGACCAGGACAAATTTTTCGGCAACTAATAGGTTTTTCTTTACGAGAAATCCGTTCGGATTTTCTTGTGGCTTCGTGCCACGTATGGATGGTTGCCTGCTTTCCCTTCCTTAACTGTATTATATTTTTGTTATGTATATTAAATTGATTGATTGATATATCTTTTAGTTGCTCTCAGATGCCCTTTACCTCCGAGCATCATAGCCACTGCAAAGGCCTCCAGAAACTTAGACGAAATTAGACTATCACACCATTGGATTGTAGGCTGCATCATGCTTCAGAGATTTCAATACTAAACAAACGTGGCTGATCCCCCTTTCTAGAAATTTGTATAACACAAAAGTGAAACGTGTCTTCACAGTGGTAGTTGAGCGTTTATTGTGCATTGTTTCGCCACAAGGGCGGAGGAATGAATGCTATAGCAACAACTTCCAAAGTCACGCGAAGAACGGCAAGCAGCTCGAAACTTGCAGCACGCTACTCAAGCAGAAAACACGCATGAAATGGGCCCACACAGGACGAGCACGAAGTAGGAACTGTCCCAGCTCGCCACCTAAAGCGCGCTGTTCAAACAGAAAGAAATACGATAGTTATAGCACGAGAACAAAACGACGACACAAAAACAAGAAGGACACGAAGGACAAGGTCCTTCTTGTCTCTGTGTCGTCGTTTTGTTCTCGTGCTATAACTATCGTCATGTCATACCAACTAGCCCAAGCTGCCACACTTCTAAGAAAGAAAGACACATGAAACAAACGCACAAGTATACACCGGACAACAATCACAATCCTCACCTCGTGTGTGAGCAGCGTGCTTTTTTCGTAAACGCGGCCTGCGGCAGCGAGCGGAGTGACCTTTGTGTTATCCTGTAGGACGAGTCTGATAAGTGCACAAGCTTGACCTTGCTGATAATACCTTGCTCCGTGGAGGTGGCGCTCATCGAAACACGACAGGCATGGAGAAAGGAAGCGACGACTTTCAGAGCGCACCCTACACAAACTTGTCGCGCCATCTTGATACTGATGACGAAAATGCACTCAAGTTGCGATGCTCTGAGGACCACCAAACGATATGTATACATATACATATAAATTGTATACATATAAATTGGCTTGCCGCTAACAGTCTCGACTACGTGCGCTCCGTGTCTTATAGTGGTTAGCGCCGCGCGCTGCGTATTGAGAGGTCATTGGTTCTACGCCCCGCAACAGAACTTTTCCTTCACGTTTTTCACTTTGGCATTTGTTAGTATATATTTTACAATGTCAAATTTGTGACGGAAATACGTCAGTGGACTATGGTGGACCCTGGCATAAAACATTTTCGCGTTAAAAACGCTTTCTTTCTAATCAATGAATCGCATATTTCGAAAGACTGATGGACGAACGGAAACCCTGCTGGAATATAATAAATAGCTCACCGTGAATATAGTCTTATAGAAGTGTCACACCGGCTCAATGACTCAAGCAGCTGACTCGACGAGGCAGCCGATGTTTGGTTCTATGATTGACGGCAGTAGTGGACTCTTCGTTAACATACGAAAGTGGCGAAAATTGCCTTCGCGTCGTGCTTCCGTTCCGCAATGAACGAAACACATGATTTCACTGAAGTTGTCCCAAGGGAGTTTAGGAGGGATCGAATATTTCTACGGAGACACGCTAGAATTGAGAAAAATTTAGACCCACAGGAAAGTGGCATTTCAAAGCAAAGGTTCTGTAAGAGTTCAGGATGTGAACTGCATTTGATTGTGCGCTCATTGAACAGCGATCGAAGCCGGTGCACTGTGCACTTTGATAACTTAACAGAATGCCAAGACAGAAATTGCGAGCTAGCCTCGATTTCACTCTCATCTCGCCCTACGTGCTCTATCACAATCTGAAGCAGTCTTAAATATAACGAACATTCAGTCAAGTACAAATATTTGTCGTCCTAACTAAAATTTATGGCAACGAGAAGGTCCGACTGGATAACCACCAAATGCTGGTCAGTTTGCGTCAAGCCTAACTGGCCTCTAATGTGAATAATAATAAACGCGACTCACGAAACAAAAGTTATGGATTACTTTAACATACGTACATTACCATGATAATATTCGGGGTGTAATGCCCCAAAACCACCATATTGCCACGCTCCTTCCTCAAGTTTTATTATCACCCCGTTACGCTGTACACGATTTTCAGCGCAAACCGCGCCTACAGTATTCGAGAAGCTTCAGGGCTACCGTAGATCATTTTGCTGAGATTACGCCCACGTCGTGAGCA